TCCAGCCTCGCCTGATAGCAGCGCAATGCGACATCCTGCCTCTGACACTCACCTGGTCCAACATCACCGTCACACAGGACGGCCTCGGTGTCGCGCGTGGAATTGAACTTGGTATTGGGACTCCGCACCAGATCTTTGCCTTCCGACCGTCGACTACGCTCAACAACACGCGGATCAACAATGTGATCAACTGTGGATCTGCGACCAACGACAGCTGCATTGGTGGTCTAGGCGGGGCTTTCGACGCGCCAAAGTCTACATCGTATGCGGTTTCGATTAAGAGCCAGTGGAATGGCAGCCAAGTCGACGCTGAAGACAGTACCGGTGCATACGTCTACTTCAACGATGATGTCGCGTTTCAAGAGAATGGCAATGTCGATGGCTTTCCATTGGTCATGGATAGTGAAGTCTGGGGAGGTGAGGATTCATGAATGCGTCTTGTCCAATGCGGGACGTCAAGCTATGAATGAAGCTGACTGATAGCAGGTGTGCAATCTGGTCTACCTCTCGGAACCAACTCTTCCTTCCTCCGCGCTGCAGTCGCTGGTGGTGTCGCGCCATCTCAGGTATTCGGTCTTTGGAGTGGTAGCAGGGGTATCGATCCACATGACGGTCTGCTCGTTGTGGGAGGATATGATCGCGCGCGGGTTGACCCTGCATCCAACTTTACCACTTTCCCGATCGGCGAATGGAACCTCGAGCGGGCCTGCCCTCTACAGGTAATGGTCACAAACCTAACGTATCAGGATATACCGCTCATACCAGACGGAAGCGATGGACTGATTGCTTGCATTGAGCCATCGACGCAGCGCTTCGTCTTTCCTCCAGCAATTGCGCAGGCCTTTGGAAACTCCACGCACCAGAATGAGACCGTATATCCGGGAAAGATGCATTACAACGTCTCGAATGGTCCCGGCGGCGATCTCATTGTAACATTGGCAGGCGGCTATCAGTCCAGGATACCTAACAAGGAATTGTTCGCGCCAGTACGCGGATCTGACGAGTACGGCCGGTATGCCATCACCAACGACAGCACACTCGAAGCCTTCGTGTCGGATACGCGACAAGATGATCCAGGCGATGTTGACAGTATCCTGGGAGGGCTCTTCTTGACCTTCAACTATCTTTTAGTAGATTACGCGAAAAGCGAGTTCCAACTTGCGCCAGCTGTCGCAGCCAATGCGGAAAACGTGTCGCCAAACCCTACCACAATCTGCACACCTACCAACATCACGCCCGTGAGCCCGACTCCGACAGCGAAAAATAAATCGATCAATAAAGGTGCGATCGCAGGTGGTGTTGTGGGAGGTGTTGCTGGACTGGCCCTGCTTGGAGCCATGGGCTTCCTGCTGTTGAGGCGGAACCGCCGATCCAGGAACCCTGCTGTCAGCGAGATAGATGGGCAAACAATTGAGCCAGTATCGCGGCAGCCGTCAGAGATGATGGCGCATGAAGTTACACCTGTGCATGAGATGTCTGCGAGTCGATACGCAAGTTTCCGAAAGCCTGAAGGGAGGGGATGGCATTGAGCGTGGCGTGGCCGTGAGCGTGAGAAAAGGGGAGGCGGGCAGATCCGCTTCGGCTGTGTAATGACATACATTGTAGTTCTACACTAAATTTCTGGGCGCTCTCTCGAGCAGTCCACTGTTCGCCCAAGTCGCCCTTTTCTTTCCATCGTGCCTTTCGTCCTTTCATGGCAAAAGTTTCGCTTTCCTAGTCGGCTCATACGCGGGAACCTTCATAGGTACCACATCGCTATCGCGACAATAGCCCACTTCTGCCCATCTCAGCCAACCCGCATACGTCCTATTGGCACAGTCGCTGCCACGATGTTTTCTCCACAGCATACCGAGAGTGTCGCCTCCAAACAGCTTCGCTGAAAACCCGTGCCCAAGCTTCAAGCACCAGCTATCCGCCACTACTTTCTCTACAATACGCCTCGCAAGTGCTTGATCGTCTGTCTCAATCTCGCTCTCCTTGGGTAACCGAAGACTCAGAAGATCAAATTGCCGCTGACCACTCCATCCAGTCATCTGCTCGTGTGCGAACGCACCGTCCATCATACTGAGCAGCCAGCACTTCTCTCTGACATACTTCGGCCCGTCCCATCCATCCTCTTCATCCACCCAGCCTTGCGCTGACCCCATGCATTGGATCTGAATCGCGTAGTCGGTCATCACCTCGTCATTGATCACCATTTTCTCCTGTCCTTCTTCTTCCACAACAACCTCTTGTGGCACACGCATAAGCGGGACGTGCGACACCATTGGATGCGCATGCGTGCCAACTGTATTGGTCTTGCCTTCCCAGACCTGGAGCAAGATATAATGTGCGCGTTGCACAAGCGGGTTGTTCGCTCGACACATGAGCGAGAAATTTACAATCTGCGGCTCATCTGCCCCCAGCGTGAAGCCGGCGAAGTCGTAAGGCGAATCCGGTTTGGTGATGTGTTCGGTCCAGAGCCTATTTAGGTCGCCGAATTGAAGGATGCCGACATCAAGATACACACCACCGTACTTCAACAGGAGCGGATAGCGGATGAGATCTGAGGTGTGTTGTGCAGCATACTGTCCGTCCAGGGTGCCGTTTGTGAATGCCGCCGGTACGATCGAGGAAGACTTGGTGTCGATGTAGTTACCTACATTCAGTGGGGAATTTGGCACGTTGTCAAGGACATAGATGGTCCATCCCAGTGGTGAGAAGCGGCGGTACCAAGCAAGGACGTTGCGTAGTAGAACGGGTGGGATCGTTCGGATGCCAGAATGCCAGAACGCGAATATGGACTTTGAGTCAACCAGAGGTCGTTTCGGCGACAAAAGCTCATCAGGTAGAGGTCCTTCCGTTGATATAGGTCCCAGAACCTTGGAGGGAATTGCTGAGGTTCCTGGGATGGATAGGTAATCCATGATTCGGTTTAATCGTAGACGGTCGATCTTGATTTTTGAATTATTCTCTTTATTGACAGGTAACTGCATTGCGAATGCCAGTATAATTTTGGTGCTATATACACGGGAAGGTACGCAGGAGTCACTGTTCGCCGTCCAATAATCATTTCGACTCATACGCGCTAATTTACGCGTGACGTCATCGTGCTTATATTCCTCACCAGTGCCTTGCGTAGCATCAAAACGTGGTGTCGCGAGATTATCACTCGATATTTGCTTGGATAGACACGTCTGAGTAACATTGATCATTCAGCGCACTCTGGTCTGCCTAGGAACATGCCTGCCAGGCACACGACAATGTGTACCGAATCGACGATCGAGCCCAAGAGCCAACTCGTGTATGGTGCAAGATGATCAGATATCATGCGCTGACGATTAAGAGACTGGCTGAAGATAGGCTTGAATCTCAAATCTCCGGCCGGGGCTGTCTTGTCTACGCCAGTCTGTAGGAGAAATGATCATATACGTTGGGTAAGCTCATTAGAACAACGTATAACACTCAAGACTCTATAGAACGCACAGCAGGATCATATACGGTATCTTGGTCATTTTTTGTGAAAACTCGGACTCCGCCGTTTTCACAGTCGTCACCGCGCCATCGAATCGCGACTTCCGTTTACCGCCAAGCACGCGACCAAATGTGCTGAGTCTAGACTGCTACCTTCACTGCCAGACTATCGTCCTCCATCGACACACCATCAACATGCAGCAACCCAGATCCGCCCTCTCGCCCCTTCCAGATATCGTGCGCGGCCCATCCGCACCGCCGCGACTACCACCTCGATCTTCCCCGCCACCGCCTGCTCCAGACTTCCTCGTCATCGGCTTGTTCGCCCTGCGACTCACCAAGCGCTTGATTGAGAGCCTCGAGTACTATCCCGGTCGCGATGCTGACATCATCTGGCTCGTCAATTTCCTCTCGCCCTTCCACAACGATTACGAACTAGCCAAGATCTCAGGCGCACGAAGAGATGACTACCTCGCAAATTATCAGAGCATTGTCTCGCGAATGAAGAAGCAACCGAAATATCCGATGCGTTTCATGCAGATGAACCCCGATAAGTCCGCGCAACCGTCAAGGCGGAGCACTGAGCCTGAGCGGCCAAGCCAAATGACTGACGGTAAGTATATTTGCCCATGTGACAAGCCCGCTAGCCTGACATAACCCAGCAGAGAGGCTGGAGATCATCAACTTCTGCGACGCAGCAGGCGAGTGGGGATCTATCCTCCCGATACCAGCGCGAGAAGCAGAGAGAATGGTCGAGCTGGCTGACCGAAGGAAAATCGCCGATCTCGAAGAGCCTCATCGGCAACGACCGCAGTACGAAGATAGGGAAGGGCCACGAGATCGCATGCATTCACGATCCGAAGATAGAGAGGAGTTGCTAGATCGGAGGCAGCCACGCTTCGAGTCGCATTCCTTGCCTTACGATACGAGACGACCGTTGCAAGAGGTCAGGCAGCCAGAACGCGAGGACAGATATCGACCACATAACACTGGGGTGTGGCGTGGCGACGAGTACCTTCCGCCTGATGTAAGGCAGCCGCCAGCGGATACGAGAAGGAGACGTCGGGTATCTTTTGCTGATGACAGGCAGTACTTTGAGGTAAGAGCCTAACACTCGTATGGGTCTCAAACACTTGCTGACCCGAACAGGATGAACGGCGATGAGTAGACTGGGATGAGGCGAATGCTAGTCATCCTGTCGTTCACACATGCGCTCGAGATCTTGCATGCTTGGATAAAGATGGAAATGAGGTGAAGCTTGCAGGACATGTTTTTCTTACGCGTTATGTATCTCTCAGAAGTTTTGATGCTCTAGACACAGTTTGAGTAGGTGAGACAAGAATTTGAGCAATGACATGATGATATGAGAATAATGTTGATGCAACTAGTCTAGTCTACTATGAAGGAATGTACGAAAGCGAAAACGCAAGATAATAAGAAAGCAGAGTAAATCAAACGCAAGACACACAGGAAAATGTAGCCTACCCAACCCCACCATCTCGTCAACACGATCCGAAAGTGCCACTGAGATCCCACCTGGCAACCACCTACATCCAAAACATAGTGTTATCCAGCGCCTTATTCCAGGGATTCTTCCGCGCCGAATCCATCCCAGTCCACTTCCCCCAAACCTTCGCCGCCTCCTCCAACGCCCATTCCTTACACTTTTTCGCCACATCATCCTTGTGCAACAGCTCCATGATCTCTTCTCCCCTTGTCTTTGCTGGCCAGACTCCAGTGGCCGTCTTGGTCTGTTCTTTGATTGGCTTGTAGATCGACTGTCTGAACTTGCGTTTGCGGTCCTCCAGATCAGTCTTCTTCTTCTTCAGCTCTTCAGCTACGTCGGTGTCGCCGTTGAGGAAAGATCGCAGGTAGATTCTGCCGCGTTCGCAGAGGCGGTCGGCGTAGTAGGCGGGCGGGGCGTAGGAGACGCCGCAGCTAGCTCGGACGTAGGTGTATGAGAGTTGGTGGGTCTGCGTGTGTGTTAGTCGGGGATTCTGAAAAATCAGTGTGTGTGTGCGCAGAGGATAACTTACGAAAGTAGATAGTTCTGCCACGTCCCAATCGGCATCGTCTTGGATAACGAAGTAGTGTGCTGGTTTCGTGGTACCTTGCAGGCCGCTGTGGGACTGGAGGAAGAACTCCTTGAAGTACGGAGATGTTACTGATGTATCGACGACGGTGCCTGGCTTGCAGTTTTCACCTTTTCCTTCCTTGTCTTCTTCTTTCGTGGGATAGAAGCGTGTGTGGTGACGTTTGGTGACGATGATAGAGGTTAGTTTCAAGTCCCCTTTCCATTTCTTCTCTTTCTTAACTTTCTCGAAAGCGCTCCTGATGGCGCGCACTTCTTGCTCAACGACCTTGCCGAATTGACCTTCGCTCACTCCATCTCGGTAGTAAATCGTTTTTGTAGGTAGCTTCAGTCGTGGTTTGGGTGTAGGGGCGTTCTTGGGCTTGATAGGGTAATCGTAGTAGGCTCGTAGACGCTCCGCTGTCATCGATTCGACCTCTTGGATGATCTGGTAGGGTTAGCTAAAGCGATACAAATTGTTTAGAATTCCTCTTGCTTACCTCGCGGTTTGTTCTATCCGGGTTTTGGAGGCGCATGGATCCAAGAAACTTGCCACCATATTCGTCCACGGACCCAACAAGCGCGGCAATGGAAGGGCAACCATCGATGGAGACTAGCGATGGATGTGTGACGTCGGCGCCAAGAAGCATGGTCTCCTTCAGTCGATGCTCAAGCGACTGCTCGAAGTTGGCCACGCTATCACCAGCTGAGTGGTTGATGCCTTCGCATTTTAGATTGACCTTCATCATGACGTTGCCGAGGTATTGTTCAACCTTTGCAGCATCTGCGAAGACTTTGGGTTCAGTGATGCACACCGCGTGGAGTCCAAATTCGCGGTCCGCTAGATCTTTGAAGAACTGATAGGCCTGTCTGTCTGGCCTTGGGAGCAAGAGAACAACGATCTTCTTGCGTCCCTCGTTGAATGTCTCCTTGACGTACCGGAGAGCTTGATGTAGCTGGTCAAATTCGAAGTTCAGCAAGTCTCGTCGTGTTACCAAAAACTTGCTGTCCTTGTTGTTGCCGCCAATGTTGTACCGTTGCAGTACCTCTTTCAACTTCTCCTGAAGAGCATCGGTCTTTGATGTGGTAAGCAGATATACCTGAACACCAGTATTTACCGTAGGGCCGGACTCGAGAAATTCGCAATCTTTCAATGTCCAGCGGGGTGTTTCGCCGAATTTGTTTTTACCCACGTGTTCGTTGTAGAGATTTTTTTTCTTATTAGCACCGTATATGATGGAAGGATAACGCATAGTGGTGCTGTTGATGTTCAGAAGTTTGGGAACGATGGTAAGGGGTTGACAATCAGCCTAGAACAAAGTTAGTCGGGATAGCAGGACGTATTAGTTCTTGACTTACGAATGTCACGCTGTCTGAACCAAGAGCTTGCTTGATCTTGAGAAAGTCGAAGACGTTATCGATCAGTGGAACGCCCTCTTTAGGTGTCAGGGCCGCTCGCTTGAGCATAGTGTCGGTGAGGTGGTCAGGGACGGGGCGACGATAGATCTGGTGGCGAAGAATCTGAAGTTTACCAGCAGCAAACCACTCTTTGTCGCTTGGAGTACCAAGATTGATACCGGGAAGGGCGCCTGTTTCCTCCTCGAATTCTTTGGGGTAGGCTAACATGGTCAACACATCGTTAAAACAGTAAGAAGGTATAGCTTACACTCTTTCAAGTACTCCAGCACTTCCTTTTTTTTCTTGCTTCCGTCTGGCATCTTCTTCTCGAACTTGATATCTTTGAGAAGAGTGTCTCTGCTTGTACCCGCGACGGTCTTTTCTCGTCCTGAAACATCGTCCCAGTCGCGTTTACGATCTTCCAGGGTCTTTCCGCGGCCGTATCGAATCTCGACTCGTAGAGCATTAAGTGCCGCCCACCTAGTCCTCTCGTTATAAAAGGTCTCGGTATCGTTGAGGAACTCTTCGACAGTCTGAGAGCTATAGAAAGCACTGGTTCCATAGTTGACGTTGAGAACGATGCCAGCTTGGAGGGGTTTGATGGTGTAGAAGTACCCTTGCATTGTCGTAAGAGATGGTGAGAGATAGTGTTCATTGTCAATGACGAAAAACTTGTTCGCGCCAATGCGTATGACCTTGTCAGTATTTAAGCTCTTGGATATCAGGATGTTCAGCGCCTTGACCTCGACGCTGGAGTCCCAGAGATGAGGCTTGTCCATGTGACCGCCAACATACTCTCGTAGGTTGCTGAAGTCGAGTTCACGAAGAAGCTTCAACTTGAGCTCGCGGTCTACACTGGTGTCATCGCGACGTCCGTCCGGTATCTTGTGAGGGCCCGTAAACTTCTTGTCGTCTTCTTGATCATGCAGTTTCTTCCAGGAGATGATAGTGGATATGTTGTCCGTAGCGAGAGAATCTTTGTTGTTCCGCAAAAGGTCCACACTATCGATCATGGTACGGACGAGCTTTTCCAGCTTCTTTTTGTTCTGTCCGACAGGAAGATCAAGAATTTGGTATTCGTAGAAGGTCATCTTCTCATCGATGCCAATCTTGAAGAAGTTCGTCGTGACCTCAGTCTTGATAGCATCAGTGATAGTCCTGCATGAGCCTTTCTGCGGGGGATATTGCGACAGTATTCTTGACTCGCCCCTTTTCAGAGCTTCCTCCTTCTGATCAACTGCCCGAAGTGCCTCGTTCTTCTCTTCCTCGGTAATGTCGGGCTTGGTTTTTGTGCCTTGTGTCGGGGCTGGGGTTTGTCCGCTTTGCTCCTCTGCCGGCTCGGATGAGTCTGGAACCTGGCCGGCAGGTACCTCCTGCTCTGGGGGAGCAATGGGCTGTTCGGAAGAACGTGAGGGAATGCTACCGCGCTGTTGTAGTAATTTGATGTAACCTTTCGCGTAAGCGACACATTTCTGAGGCGTGATGTTCTTGTTGATCCAGGCCATAGTCGATACTGGGGAGTTTGTTTTCGGGCAAAGCCAGGCGTGCGCTTTGCCATCCTTCTCGGAGTGCCGCTCTCCACACAAGATGCATGGGTCATCGTTCATGTGATCTTCGATTAGTCGTAGCTGTTCTGGCTGGAGTAGGTCTTCAGGCTTCGCCGTCGCTTTCTTTTTCGGAGCCATGCTGAAGGTAGAGCTTTGTACTTTGGTCGGAGAAACTCTAACTATTGAAAGCTTGGGGTGAAGAAGATTGACCAAGGCTAATTTGCTCGAGCGATATTGAAGCATGTATGGAGCGAGTGCTGCTGTTCATATATCTATGTCAGTTTTGCTTGCTCTATTGACTCAAGCATCGGCCAAATGCTTGTTGTTGTTCGCGATGCGATTGGGAAGTGCTACAATCATGTATCAAGCATGTCTCATTCACCACCATCGGCTTCCTCGGTGCTATGAGACATAGTCGCCTTAAGCGTGCAAGCATTGTGCTCACCCTGTAAGCAGTTCTACTGCGACATCGGCGGTTAGCTAAGACAGTGAGTAGTGTTGGAATGCGTTCTGAGGGGTGTGGAATTCCACGAACCTGGTGACAATTCGCTCCTTCCGTCTACCGCCCTTCCGGATCTGATTGCTCATTTTAGCGCTAAATACGGAAAGAGTCAAGAGGAAGCAGTGGAATCGGCCTTTCGCATGTTGTAGGACAATGAATAAGCCCCAGAAGCCATGCAAGCTAATCTATAACTGCAACGGCTCCGCGCGTGTATAAATACGGAATGAACGTCGCCGTCCCAACGCCAAGACATGCATTCGTCAATCATACCATGCGACTCTCTACTGCGTCGCACATTGAGGACCCTCAGCCTCCTCGTCATCGTCTTCCCACTCAGCGCCACCTGCGCGTGGGTCTCCGCTGCCGGCGCCGTAGTCCTCCATGTCGGCGTCCCATTCGACGTCTACCTCTTCCACCTCTTCGTGCTTTTCTTCCGGTTTGTCGTCCTTTGGTAGCGCGTCCCTGAGCTTCTGTACCGCGGCGTCGTTCTTCAGCCATCCGTCCTCGGGGAATTCGACGTCGACTACTAGGTATAGATCGCCACGAGCGTCGCTGCGCTTGATAGGCATACCCTCGCCTTCAATCTTGAGGATTTGTCCTGGTCTCAGGACATTGCCGTCTGGTTGTTGTACGTTGAGCTTGAGACCCCGTCCGTCGAGATGGGTGATGACTACGCGATTGAAGCCTGTGAGAGCCTCCACCAAGCTGACTTTCAACTCAGCCCTCAGATCTGCGCCTGCGCGCTCGAAGACATCGTGTGGCGTCTCTGTAAGCGTGAAGATGATGTCGCCTGGCTCTTGATCGGGTACTTGATCTGCTTCTCCTGCAAGCACTATGCGCTCGCCCTGTCGCGCACCACGGGGAATGTAAAGTTCGAGGACGTTCCTTGTCTCCACAACCTTCTTTCCTTTGCACTTCTTACAGCGATGCTTCTCGGGAATAACTTGGCCAGAACCTGAACAGTTGCCGCAAGGAACGGTCTCTTGGGTGACGAGGCCGGGGCCGACCTGGCGGAGGACTTGCTTGGCACCTGGGGAAGTTAGTATGGCGGGATGGTGCGAGATGAAAGAGCGACGTACCGCGTCCGTTGCAGACGGCACAAGAGTTGCTCTTAGCGCCCTGCTTTCCTCCGCTGCCCTTGCACATGTTGCAGATGATGTTCTTGGTGCTGGAGAACTTGGTCGTCTTGCCCTTGTACAGCTCCTCCAGGCTGACCTCGTACTCCTGCTCTACCGATCGTCCTTTCCGTGGCACGTTTCGTCCACCGGGCATGCCTCCCATGCCGCCCATTCCAGGCATTCCGCCAAATCCGCCCATTCCGCCGAACATTTGCGCAAAGATGTCGTCGATGTCCGGGCCTTCGCCGCCCATACCGCCTCGGGACGGGTCGAAGGCAGCCATGCCGTGGGTGTCGTACATGTGTCGCTTGTCATCGTCGGAGAGGATCTCGTAGGCTTGTTTCGCGGCCTTGAAGCGAGTCTCGGCCTCTGCGCGGTCATCTTCTGCGACCTTGTCGGGGTGATGTGCTAGCGCAGCCTATCCGGGTCAGAATGGGGTCGCCCTTGCGTTGTTGTTGCTGACGAACCTTGTGGTATGCCTTCTTGATCTCGATCTTGCTCGCGCCCTTTTCGATCTCGAGGACCTCTGTTCGCGTTAGCAATGCTTCAAATGTCCAGACAAGTGTACGTACCGTAGAGGTCGATTTCTTCATCCACTGGAGGTGGCATTGTGTTAGTGAGAGTCGTGTCGTAGTAGACTGGAGGTACAAACTTTTGTGTTGTTGTTGGGTTGGGCGTGGGTAATTGGGAAGCAGACAAACTGGTCCAAAGTATGTACAAGAATAAAGCGAGATACAGCGACGTAAAGGGCCTCGTCCAGTGGGAGTGAAGGCAACAAAGTTTCTCCAGATTTGTCGATCGCAGGCAGGTAATGCGGGCCAAATTGTTAGCAGGCGGCGCCCCCACTAACGTCGAATCCCTGTACGTCATTTTCAACCGCGAACTCGAACCCTTTGCGTCGCATCAACACCGCCATGTCGTTTTCCTTACTCCGTCCACGACTGTCCGGGTACACGTGCCGGTCGTGTCTAATTCGCCTTTCACGCGCCTCGCGACGTCCGATCTCTTCAAACACCTACCACATCAAGGAGAATAGTGCTAAAGCCGACGCAAAAGCCGCCGTACCAACATCTCCCGCACGGACGCGTTTTGCGCCTTCACCAACCGGCTACCTCCATCTTGGGTCACTCCGGACGGCGCTGTTCAATTACCTCCTCGCGAAACGGACGGGCGGCCAATTCTTACTCCGGATAGAAGATACAGACCAGAAACGCACAATACCCGACGCTGAGCAGCGACTGTTCGACGATCTACGATGGGCAGGGCTGCAATGGGATGAAGGGCCAGAGGTTGGGGGTCCATATGGACCGTATAAGCAGTCAGAGAGGAGCGCGATATACAGGGAATATGCGCATCAACTGCTGGAATCAGGACATGCCTACCGCTGTTTCTGTTCCTCTGAGCGCTTGAACGCGTTGGCGGAGCACAGGCACAAGCTCGGTATCGCAACCGACTACGACCGCACATGCGCCCCGCCCGCGATATCCAAGGAAGAGAGTGACGAAAGAGCGCACAAGGGCCAGGCGCACACCATACGTCTCAAAGTCCCAGACCAGTACCCGACATACAAAGACCGCATCTATGGCACCTTCAGGCCGCTCAAGAGACGCGGCCATGTCACCGAATCCGCGTACGAAGACCCAATTCTTCTCAAGTCCGACGGTCTCCCTACATACCACCTCGCCAACGTAGTAGATGACCACCTCATGAAGATCACGCACGTAATCCGAGGAAGCGAATGGATGCCCAGCACCCCCAAGCACATAGCCATGTACCAAGCCTTCGGGTGGACACCCCCAGAGTTCGCCCACGTCGGCCTCCTCGTCGACGAGAACGGCAACAAGCTCAGCAAGCGAAACTTCGACACCGACATCACCGCCTTTAAGGAGATGGAGATCTTCCCCGAGACCCTCACAAACTTCGCCGCGCTGTTGGGATGGAGCCATAAGGAAAAAAGCGATGTCATGGACTTGAAGACACTAATTGACAACTTCAGTCTGAAATTCACAAAAGGCAACACCACCGTCACATTCGGCAAAATGCAATTCCTCCAACGCAAACACGCCCTGCAACGCGCCTCGACCGGCGGCCCCGCCCTCGAAGAAATGGTCCGCAACGTCTCCAAACTGCTCACCTCCCCCGAATCGCCTTACCAAGACTGGAAGTCCATAATCGGAAGCCCCTTCCCCGACGACTACATCCGATCCATCATAACCGCCGACGCAGAAAACTACACCAACGCAAACGAGTTCCTGTACCGCAACTCCTTCTTCTTCACGCCCCTACGACCATTTGATAGGCAGCCGCCCATGTCGACGACTTCCGATATACCCATGCGCGCACAGATGCTAGCGCAGATTGAGGAGAAGGATTGGAATAAGGAGAATCTGATGCAGAAAGTGCATGAGATGATTGATGGGAGGCCCGAGGGGAAAAAGGGCGCGAAGGATGTGTATCATTACTTGAGGAAGACGATCACGGGGCAGGAGCAGGGCATGAGGTTGTATGACATCTTTGTTATTCTGGGTCGGACGGAGACGCTGAAGAGACTGGGGTTGTTGGTCAATTAGAAGGTCGTGTAATTACGAAAGTGTAACAATAGTGTATAAGAAACGAGACAAGAATATACATGTATTTGATCACATCGAGTTAGTGTTGCAAGCAACAGTAGATATATATATATAGAGAAGTATAAGGTGCAGGGCCTCCGCAGCGTAGTCGCGATTAGGTAGATGAAATAATTATAAGGCTTAGTAGTGTATGCTATTAACGCGACGCCTATTTGTAGGCGTCTGTTAAGACCTCTACGCATAGAGAATTAGTACCGAGAGCGCTTAGGCGCACACCGGGCGCGATAAAAAAGCTTCCGGAGGATATTCTCAGGAAGCTTTTTTATCGCGCCCGATGTGCGCCCAAGCGCTCTGGGTCATGAATATACATATCAGTTGGTTTTCTCGCATTGCTACGATGAACTCGTTGACTTCAATTCGTGATATCATCCCACCCTGATCTATTCATATACGCCCTTGAACGCCTTGCCATGCCATGCTTTCCACAGTTGACCACGTTGTCATGTCTATGAAGTCTCCATCTCAACCTCCTGGCTCTTAACCTCCCCGCCATCTGCAAGACCAAACACCTTATCCTTGACCTTGGCCGCTAGCAGTCCCATGTCCTCTTCACGAGCAATCTTGCTTCCTGCTGCACCCAGCTTGGTCAACTGGTTCTTGCTCTCGTTGTTCGTCGCGTATCCCGCTCCGCCCTTGAAACGCTTGCTGGCGTTGTTCTCCTGCTGCATCTTGCGGGCGAGGTCGGAGATCTGCTTGGTGCCGTAGTCGCGGTTGGAGATGAGGGGCGATGAGGAGAGTGTTTGTACCCAGTACTTGTTCCACAGCGCTTCTAACAACTTGGCGTCGAGCGAAGACTTGTAGTGCGAGACTTCCAGGGAATAGTAGTGGTTGGCATGCGCACCGAAATCCTCAATCTTGCCGAGCGGAATAGTCTCGAAGCCGTCGCTC